CGATTACAAGCCATTCAAACATCTAAACAGATGACAGTTTGATAGAACACATTATTCATATAGAGTGTAATTTTTTTTTTTTCCCCACCATTTTTGTGATGCTTTTTAAGAATGATGAAGAAAAATTGTATATTAAGGTAAAAGTTAAAAGTGTTGACGATAGCTTTTCTTGTAATTTTCCATTTCTTTTGTTTTTGCTTAATGAAAGTTCCATAGTTCTCTGTCTTATGAAAGGCTTTTCTATTTGGTTTTGTTTTTAAGCAATACAAAAATTTTCGGCCGGGAGAAAATGAAATGAGCAATCACCCGCAAAAACCACATTTTTTCCGAGAAAAAAAGGCTCACTCAAAAAGAGTTGTAATCGAACCGTACTAGCCGAGCTCGGGCATTTTGAGCTCGTTTACGTTTGCACAATGTTCGTGTTCATCGTTTTACTTTTCAAGCAAACAATCGTATTCGAGCTCATTTGTTTAATTGTTCGTCAAAGTTCGAGTCCGATCATGTTCAAATAATTTAGGATATAAACTTTTTAAATATGTTTGATTAACTCTAAATTTATTCGTTCGAACTCGAAAAAAATAATAATTATATTTTAGATTTTTTTTTTATTAAAGATATCATGTAAATGTATAAAAAATGAAAAATTATTATGTTAAATTAATGTTTGCGAACAACGAGCTCGTGTTCATTCGATTATTAAACGAGCCTAATTTTCTGTTCGAACTCGGCTCGATTAACAAACGAACGAGCTTTTTGTCGAACATGAACGAGCTCGAACAAGTTTTTTTTTGTTCTGCGAACGTTCGGTTCTTTACCCCTATCACCAATAGTCCCCGCACGAACACAAACCCTCCTTAAAATGGTGAAAACGCGTGGCATCCCGAACGATTATCTCTCGAGCGGCCAGTTTCGACACAAATTTGATGGCCGAATGACAGTCATTGCAAACCCTAAGGTTCTTCATGATCCTCAACGTACTATTCTCCGGCGTACTCAACAACCCGTACGCGATCGCCAGTTTTTCACTGTGGTGCTTAAGAATCTGCTCCTTTAGCTCCTTATCCAAATCGTGCAGCACGCAACCCAAGTCCGGAACAAAACCCATCCTTTTAATATCCTCCCATATTTCGTCCGCCTTCCGAAAAATCGAGTCCCGTTCAGGATGAACCGAGTCTTCCGCCCCAAAAACGTGAACTCGGTTCTTAATCTGGAGCCAACTAATACCCTGTTCTTTCTTAACTCTCCTATCCTTCATCGACTTTCTAATTTTCGCCGCCTCTTCCCATTCTCCGCACGCCGAGTACACATTCGCCAAAGCCGAGTAGGCCCCACTGTTCTCCGGCTCGATCGAGAGAATTTTTTCGGCCGTGAATTTCGCGAGCTCCGTGTTTTTATAAACTCTGCACGAAGCCAAGAGCGAGCCCCACGAGACTACATCAGGCTCGACCGGCATTTTCTCGATAAAATCTTGCGCTTCGCGCAATAATCCCGCTCGGCCAAAAAGGTCGATCATGCAGGCGCAGTGACTCAAAGTGGGCTCGATCCCATGCGAGTCCCGCATTTTATCGAAATAATAACGCCCCTGCTCGACCAAACCTGCATGCGTACAGGCCGAGAGGACTCCAATGTACGTTATATGATCAGGCTTGATATCTAATAACAACATTTCTTCAAATAGCTTTAAAGCCTCGTCTGCAAAACCGTGCTGTGCTAAGGCAACTATCATTGAGGTCCAAGAAATCGGGTCTTTTCTCATTTTTATTAAATTAAACGACTTTTCTGCACAGCCGATATTTCCAGCTCTCGAGTACATGTTGATCAGCGCATTGCTGACCGAAACCGAAAGCGCCACGTCTAATTTTAGTGCACTTGCGTGTATTTGTTTGCCGTGGTTTAAGGAAGCCAAGTCCGAGCTCACACTCAACATAATTGCAAGGGTATAGCTGTTGGGTTCGGGCCCGTTTCCAACCATGGACCTGAAAAGATCCATTGCATTCTCATTAAGCCCATTTTGAGCGTACCCCACGATCATAGCCGTCCATGCAACCACATCACGATCGCTCAACGAGTCAAAAATCTCACGAGCCGGGCCCAAATCACCGAGCTTTACATACCCGTCTAATAAAGCTGTAAAAGCTATAACATTTAGCACAGATGTCCCGCATTTTAGCAGGATTTTATGTGCAGTCTCGACACGGCCACATTTCGAGTACATGGAGATCAACGCATTCCACACGGGCACGGGAGAATCGGGCTCGTTTTTTACGACAAAAGCATGAAGTTGCTTCCCAGCATCTAACCTCTCGAGATTCGCACATGCAGAGAGTACACTTGCGAGCGTGTATCTATCGGGCCTTATTCCAGACCCATTATTGAGTTCCACGAACATCTCCAGAGCTTCTCGGTCGAGCCCACACTGATTGTAGCCCGCTATCATTGAGTTCCACGAGATGAGGTCACGATCCATCATGGCTCGGAACTCAGCCCGGGCCCGATCGACTTGGCCCATCCGCATGTACAAAGAGATGACCGCATTCTTGGTTGATACATTCCCGAACCTGATTCGTCCGTACACCGTT